TTAGGACATGGGAAAAGGTCTCATTCTGTGTTCCTTTGACTAAATGGTCTCCGTCTGCAAATGTATTCCTAAGAAGAGAGATATTATTCTCAATTAGGCCCAAAGGATAATTATTTTCCAGGAATATATTTGTCATCCGTTCCAACTCTTTACTCAAATGTTTGCTTTCAGCTAGCCTCATACTCCTAAGGATCATTGATTCTGGTGAGATTGACCAGCGAATCTCTTCTTCATGCACTTTCATACGAAATGAAGGTCCCTCTAACAAGCTCCTTAGATTATTTCTATCCTTTTTTAACTACAAAGTAATCATAATCGAGAGAAAATAAATGTATTCAGAAAATTAAATGAATCTTTAATTTCTCTTTTATGGCATATTCTGTCTCCTCTTGATCTAATTAGCCTTTTCGTTGTTTTAATATGCTAATTACAGACCAAAAATGCTCACGACGACAATCTATTTGTGAGTTCATTGACCTCAAAAGATGTCGAATTGGATGGCCTTATTGACAACAACCTTCCTTGTTTAGCCGGTAAGCCATGCGAGTCTCGGTACAACGTCCAACCAAATGTTCGCTCCTTAACTCCGACCAGCAGTAAGTCGTATTTTCTATAGTTTACATTATATTAATGTATTAAATGTAGCTTACCATTTCTCTTGAATTTTCTTTTTTATTAATTTATATTTTTCCCCAATTCTATCTGAAGCATCTATTTTTTCCCTTTACCCATTTTTAAAGTAGAAACTTGTAAAGAATGCTACGAGTCTTTCAATTGCACTGCATCTTACACGTCTTGTGCTACCTCCTTCCCGTCTGCAGTTACTACTTTTTCAGCCAATCTTACTCACGGAAACTCTTCAGTAAATCATCCTGGTTCTCATAGTTCAACAGTTCAGCAAGCAACGCAATCCATCTTGTCTCGATCTAATATTACTGGAATGAGTAACCATGTATTAAGTAATCCACTTGTCAGGACTTCTGGTCCTTATGCCGACTTTAAAAATGGAATTGATACTGCACATCAACCTCCTTTTAATTTAACTTTGGCTGGACAACAGAACCAACTAGCGAAAATCAGTGTCCTTTCACCTATGGAGAAATTGTGTGGCTTCCTAGAGCCTAGTTGCAGCAAGCTTTGTGAGCGAGTGGCTGTTGATGATAATGAAAAGAGTGCTTCTCTGAAATTCACAGACACGTCCTGTCAATCTTTTGCTGCCTCACAGGCCTTAAGGTCTAGTTCAGAACCTATGCTTTACTCAACCCCTTGCTCATCCTCAACTATTAGCTCTGTTAGGCAATCTGCCTCTTTAGCTGGTCATAATTTGCTTGCAAATAAACCAGCTTCTGATGACTTTCTACCATCTACTTGTGGGCATGACTATCAGAATTCTCGCGATCATTCTGGGCTGATTACAGCCCCCGCAACTTGCCGATCCCAACTTATCACTTCTCCAACTTCTCCGGTGCACTCTCCTCTAATCTCATCTTTAGCTAATGCATCTCATTTTCGTGGTGGTATCGGATTAGCTTGCTCAACACGTATTTCTGATCTATTTGCCACGGATTTTGGTCCAGCAACTTCTTTGGGATTGGCATTCCCAAAGAGCTTCTCTCATACTAGTGGAGAAGTAGAGACTGACAACTTAGCCTTAAACCTGCCCAACAGTTCGCAGCAAGCCACCACAGCATTGGTACCCAATGATGAACCCAGCTATTCTACTAATCGGACCATATATACCCATAGATTGACTTCCCCGATATCACAGCCGCTCTCTCTAACTACAAGCTCTTCATCTCCGAATAGTTCAGCCACGACAACGACAGTAACCTTCTTCGTTTGCGAGGTCTGTGGCTCACGATATCGGTCCACAGCTGGCCTTCGTTATCATTACCACAGCCAACACGCCGGCTATACCTCACAGAGTCCAATATCTGCCTCTGCTTCACGTCTTGTGGTACCTCTTGGAGATGAACGCGGCTGTACTGGCGGATTAAGAGGAGGGAGGGCACGACGCAGCAGAAAAGGTGATTCATTACTTGCTATACACTTGGAACTGTTGATCATCTTGTTGGTTGAAATTTGCAGCAATGCGGTAGACGTGGATTGAGCCTCGCCAAGGGTGTTAAGGTACTTTGCGACAGAATGACAATGGCCGATTTTTTCGTGAAGGCGCCATAAGCCTCTAAGTGAGGTGTCAATGAGGTTTCAATGTTCGTCACAAGTTGTTATTCTAACTATTTAAAATGCACAAGTTGGCAGGACAGTAGAGCGTGATATAATCCCTGTTACCTAATCAGATCACCATGTGAGGATAGCGTCCAGATGGCGATTAATGCATAGATGTGGTGTGAAGAGTCTCCTACACTTAAGCTAGGA